CCACGGATGGCTGCTGCTTCCTTGCTTCCTTTTTTTTGAAGCCAAAATCAACTCTGCTCTTGCTCGTTGACAGCCCCTCGCCTGAGGCGTGGCTCCTGGCCTCTGCAGGGGTCCGAGCAATCCTGGCGCCTCCAGCTGCCCTCCTCCTCCGATGCTCGACGCTCGCCAGTCGCAGAGCGCAGGGCCAAACTGGGGAGGACCAAGGGTGGCAGGGGTGCTCGCGCCCTTCCCAGCGTTTCTACCAGAGCTGCCCTGGGCGCACTGCACCCATCACATCTTCTCTCGCTGGTTCCGTGCCGCTGCTCTTCCTGGAGCTTGGGGGACCACCGGGAGGCCAAAAGACAACGGGGAGCCTTGGGGCTGTGTCTGAGGTCAAGACTCTGGGCTGTGCAGAGCGCGGAGCCCTCGCTTCCCCAGCTCCCTCTTGGATTAAAGCTCGGTGCCAGCGAGAAGCACAGGGCTCTTTCCGCCACCTCCCCAAGTGCACCCGGGCGCACTTCCATCTGATTAGAATGTTTCTTCAATCTTATTACAATGACAGTAGCTTTCAAGTCATTTATTATGAGAAGAATTTTAGTCTTAAAAGAAAAAAGAGTCCCACTGTAATTGTGAGTTGTAATAAATGCAAACTTCTGGTGCCTCCCTCTGCAGCATGGAAGACAGTAAAAAATGTGTCTCGTCCAAACGCACCCCCTCTCCAAGCCCATTGTGAAGTCAGTCGCCAACAAAGGGGATGTGTGAATATTCAACACCGACTCTTTCACTTTTTACCCCGGAATCCTTGAGTCACCACCCCCTAATTTTTTTTTTTTAATGCGCGAATACCTGTTTAAGTTTTAAAAGCACATGGAAATCGCCCGCGAGCGACCATATAATTTGATTTGCCAGGCAATCTGCAGAGCGATCGCACGTCATTTATAATGTTCATTGAGCATTTTGCCTAATTGTGTCTGTCTCTGAAAGGGCAGCGCACCCCCTCCCGACTGCGAGCAGCACAAGTGGCGACATTCCCATGGAGCGGCCGCGCCGCAGCTTGCTGCATTCAGCGCGGGCGGCCCGGCAGCGCGCTTCCCTGCCCGGACGACCGGGCGCGCCTGACGCTAATAGCTCGCGGCTCAGGTACGAGCGGGCGCCGCATTTGACTCCATTCAATTCACAACCGGCAGCGCTTGCAGGTGTCGCCTTTTGAAACCGCCATTCAGGCGGCCGCTGTTCACTTCTAGCTGCGCCGCGGGTTTTGTAGAAGCGCAAGAATGGAGTTGATTATTCCCGTGCCCACATGCCGCCCCCACACGCCCCCACCCCCGTCCGGCGTGAGGCTTCCCTTGGCCAAAAGAGGCGTTTAATTAGTTCTGGGGCTGCGGAGAGCCAGTATGGCCGACAAAGCCCGGCTCCCCAGGTAACCTGGGTTCCCCGCGGACCCAGGAGGGGGCGCGCGGGGCCGGGGCACCGGCCTAGGGCTGTGCGCTCCCTCCGGCGACACCGCCGCTCCCCTGGCCTCCGGCCCGGTCCCCTGCAGGCCGAGGGTTCATCTGCTGGGCTTGGGGGGCCTGGGCCAGCGCCGCCTGCTGTCCCCAAGTGCGGTTGGCTCTAGGGCGCGCCCCCTCTCTCCGCCTTTCCTTGTCCAGAGCCAGGCCAGAGGGAAAGAAGGCAGTGAGGTTGGCAAAAAGACAGGTGGCCTTGGCGGTCTTGCATGATAGCTGTCCTTCTCCCCTGTTCCCCATTTTGGGGAAACACTGGAAACACTTTTCTCTTTATGCGCATTCGCGTCTCAGCACCGGGTGCTCCAAACCCTGAGTGCACCGCCGTGCTTGGGAAGCAGCGAATGGCTGCCTCGCCACCGCCGCTGCTAGTGACAGTCAGGCGCCAGCGCCAGCCCAGGACGCGCACAACTGCCGACTGCACTGGCCCGGGTCGGAGCCACGGAGGCACCTGCGCCACAGGCACAACCGCACCCAACCCCACCTGGCCTTGGAGGGCTGTGCGCGCCAAGAGGGGATCGTGCCCCAGCAAGCCGGGCCTTTGGCTGCGCGAGGGGGCCCAGGCAGAGTCACCCCGCCGCTCGTGGTGCCGAGGGCAGGACACCGCTTGATACCTTTGCCGCGGGGTGGGCGTCGGCTGCGGGGCAGAGAGCGGGTGTCTCACCTCGACTTATCATTTGATTTCCGCCAGCGTCTGAGGACTGCGCACCCAATTCGTTCCACTCGCTGCGCTCTATGAACCGGCGGCGGAGAGGGCGGGGAAGACCGGGCTGGGGGAGGGCCGGGTGGTCCCATTCCCCCGCCCCCGTCCAGCCGGCCTCGCGGAGCACAAGTGTTGGGATTCCCACGGGCAGGCGTACTCTGCGACTGGAGGCCCGGGCGCCCAGGGCCCAGGAGACGTGGCAGACACAGAGGGGTTTGTAGACACGGTGACCTCCGCGCTCCCGCACTGAAAGGGCCTGAAAGGAGCCGTTTATGGTGCATTACCAGTCAAGGGCTCAGGTACCAGCGCCTTGTGTCAGGAATCGCGGCGGCCGCCCGTGCTGCAGGTGTCTGCAATACAAACGCCCCGGGAGGGGGCGGGCGGGCCGCCCGAGAGGGGGCCGAGGAGGGGCCTAGGCCTGCCGAGGAGGGGCCTCGGCCTGGCCTGCGCCAGCCACTCTCGCGGTTTCGCTCTTGCTCCTCTGCAGCCATAGCAGCAAGCCAGGGATGCAGACAGAGGTCCTAGGGGCTGGGGCAGAGAAAGCTGCAGAGGCCTGGCTGCCCAATCCAGTTCAGTTTCAAGACTAAGGGCAGAAGGAGGTCACAGGAGGCTCGAACCTCTCCGGGGAGGGAGCGCTGTGCCAGGGGAAGAAGCATTTTGCCCATATATTGGGCTGCTTGGGCAACCAGAGGCCTGCCAGAATTTAACTTGAACTTCCCAAGTAGGCCTGCCCTCTCCTTGTTTATCTTCCCGTGCAAAGAAGGGCCTGAGCCCAGGCGTATTTCACAGCTGTTCCTGGTTAAACAGCAGTGTGGCCTTCTCCTCACTGACCTCTCCAATGCCACAGTCATTCCCGGCCCAGAAGAAACCTTGGAAGGTACGTTAGCTTCTTTGGGCTGCACCAACAGCTATGCCTTTAGTGGGTCACTCCTGTACCCCCTGTGCCCCCAAAGCCCTGACAAACCAAGAACTTAACCCCCAACCCACTCCCCCCCTCCCCCTCAAGCTAGCTTCTAAAGTAAAACCTTGAAATACTTTTTTTCCTTGGGGAGGAAATTGTGAATGGAGTTTACTCCGTAGATAAGCCCGGAAAATTCTTCACATGGCCAAAATACAGAAAAAGAAAAAGCACAAGAACTACTGTTTCATAATACTCAGGGCCAACTTGAAGAACAGATGAAGGAGACAGAAATATTGGGTGTGTCTAAAGGGAACTTCAAAAGATTTTAGGGCTTGTCTGTCTTGTCTAATATTAGCTGGAAACTTCCTTTCCTTAATGCAAGTCAACCACCGTCATTACTTTTGTATGTGTCTTCAATTATCAGAATTTGTTTTTGACTAAATCAAAGAAAATGATTTTCTTAAAGTAACAGAAGTTGGTCCAGGAATAAGGAAGTTGGACAAGGATGAGGAAGATGGGTGTGTGTCTGAAAAGGGTTGTTTGGGAGGAGAATAAAGGGACAGAATAGATCCCTCACAGGGTGAAAGTCTTTCCCATCTTCAAAAATAATGAAAAATTACCCCTACTCTTTGTTTTACCACATTCATAACGCTGCTTTTTAAATAAGTTCCCCAGATAGATGTCTCAGTTAAGTTCATTGCCTTTATTCAGACTTCATCACTCTGCACCCCACTCTCATGCTGAAACTGTTTTTAATCATTTTCACCAGCAATTTCCATGTCCCCCAATTTAGGGCCAATTTACAAACGTTAGCTTACCTAAAATTGCAGTAACAGGCCCACCCCACTCATCCTGATGGCAAAAGCGGAATCCTTAGTATCATATTTTCTTCTCTCTTTTTCCAAGTCCCACATTCCATAAGTTCAGAAGTTCTAGTGAGTCTCTTTCCAAAATCTCTCTCCAGTCTGTCCAGTCCCCACCGACCTCAGGCCTTCATAACATCCCAGCTGTTCTGCTGCCATGACCTTCTTGGTCTCCCTACCTGTAATTTTGCCTTGCTTCCATCCATTCTCCACACCATAGCCCCAAGTGCGCTTTCTAATTGGTAAACTGGACCATGCTATCCCCCTGGGTAAAACCATTTGCTAGCTCTCTGTTCCCATATTAATTATATGTAAGTTATAAACGTGCTACTATACAAATCGGCTATACGTATTATAAAGAATGCACAAGACACACAATTTTTCTTAAAAAAGATAGAAATATAGATGATAGTTCTGATAGTTTCTTCCTATACCCCTGTAAGGTTTATCCAGTCTGGACATGACTATCTATACAATGCCAATCTCCATAACACAGTTTACAAGGTGTTCTTTGCTGTAGATCCCATCTACATTTCCATCCTCAACATCCCTCTTTACTTCATCCTTAATAAAAATCCTTTTTAAAATAATTTTTTTGTTCAAATTTCATGAAGATCTTTCTGTTTCATGTTACTGTCTACCTCTGCTCCTCATGATGTCTCCGTATGTTCCATGGAAAAAAGAATCCATTCTATGTACTGTTCTGTTGCTAGTGCTTAATGCTAGCAACAGACAGAACAGTACATAGAAGAGATATTCCAAGCACACTTCCCAGCACAGAATGGGCGCTTAATAAATCTGTTATATACATGAACATAGTGCTTCTTTGAGGCAGCCATGTTTTCTGCGGAGTAACTGGAAATCAGAGAAAGCTGACCATAAAAAAAAAAGGATGAAGATGTGCAGAAGGAAAGAGAAAGCACAGGAAAGATGGAGAAAATGTCCAGCCATCTTTCTAGATCATGGTGTGTTGACTAGAATACAAGTTTAGCTGCTCTATTTTAAAAAGGTTAAAAATATGAAGTGCAAGTTTATTACCTCTCACAAAGACAAAACAAAGCTGGATAGGTATTCCACACCTGGTATGGGCTCTAAATGATGTGGCGGATTTCAGTTTCTTTTATATATTTGCTCATCTATCCTCAACATGTAGCTTTCAACTCATGGTTCAAAGTGGCTGCTCCAACTCCTCCCATTGCCTCAGCATTCCAACCAGTGGGAAGAGGGTGACAACATAGGACATGTATTTCCCCTTCAAAGATTCAGTCCCAAAGCCTGACCTCATTTCTGGTCACAATCCATTAATTAGAAATTAGTTTTATAGCCACACAGAGTTGCCATGGTGAGCAGGAAATGTGGTTTTTATTCTGGGTAGCTATGTGCCCAGCTACAATCCTGGGATGCCATTACTAAAGGAACGAGAAAATAGGTATCAGGGGAGAATCTTCCGTTTCTACAACATTTGGCACTGCTGCCTCTTAAGGCCTCACTACATTCCTGCTGTCAGATTCTAGGAGATGCTCTGTATTCCATGACAAAGCCTCTTTTAAATGTTTAACTTAGTTCAAATTGGCTTCCACTACTTAAAACCAACAGATTGTAAACTAATACACAAAGGTACTGCGTCTCTGTGCAATGACACTAGGTGCAGAATACTACATGTACCAACCTATGTATGTCAGATGGGCTAGGTTTTGCTGCAGTAGCAACCCCCAAATCTCAGCAGCTTCACACAACACAAGTTTATTTCTGGTCCAGGTTACCGTTCTATGAAGGTTTGCAGGGGAACCTTGTTTGTCAGAGTCACTCCAGGTCCCCAGCTGACAGATGTTCTGACCCAAGACTTATGTCCACAATCATTACAGAATATGGAAGCAAAAGAGATAAACTGTGTACTGGCTCTTAAAGCTTCCTCCCAGAGGTACCATGTAATTTTCACACATCTTTCATTCGCTGAGCATGTCATGGAGCCGCATTTCACCTTGAAGGGGGTAGAGAAGCATAAGCTATCATCTGCCTGGAAGAACTAGAGTATCTATGGCTTGCTCTACTGGCTCCCACAACCTAGGTATGGTGGAAGCTTTTCCGGTTAATTTTGTGTGTGTGTGTAAAGCATCCAGAAAGTATAAAATGATCTATATGTACCTTCCTTTCTTCTCTGTTCAAACTTATTCAGCTGAAGAAGACATGTACTCTCTAAGTCCTGGGGACCTCTAAGGCCAATGACAACATAAATCCCTTACATCATTTTAAATCTGGGCAGGGAAATATTATATAACAGATGATGCATTCTCAGCTTTGCTTCCATCTGGGACATCCCTTAACATTTTTAGGAGTCTCTGCATATATTCATAGCACCATCTTGGATTTTTACAAAGGGTTTTTACTCAGGTGTAGTAGACAACAAGCTTCTGAAAAAGAAAAGAAAATAAAAAAGGCCAAGATCAGGAGTGTGTAAGGGTACAGAAAGACATTCTACCATGAGGTGCACACAGGGAAATCTGTTTCTAGGGCTGGCAAAGGCCAAATAAAAGTGAGATTCAATAGACATGAGGAAATCTCTGTCTACCCCCAAAATTTCTTCAAATGACTGCACTAAGGCCCAAATGCCAGATTTAAAAAATTCCCTCCCATGATTTACAGCATTACCTTTCAAGAATACTAATCAAATGCTGGGAAGGGAATGACGTGGTTGCTCTGTGTTGCTCATACCTTAGGGGAGCAGATGTTTTCCTTTATGGCCTCTAGCTGAGACCAATGGCCCTGAAGTAATTGGCTTCTAAAGAGGGCAAAAGGATAATTTGGAGCACTGGGCATTCTTTGAAGACACAGGTCTTGGTGGGGCACCCATGTGTTCACCATGAGGCCACTTCATGTCTGGGATGGGGCTGGGGTGTGGAGGCAGGACTAAGAAAGGAGATGCAAAAAGGCACACTGGAAGGTGCAGAACCCGGGCTGTGCTTGGGGTTGAGTCCCTAAGAGCCCACGGATTTGCTGGGGAAATCCATAGGCTATTCACAGCCCCGGGCTTTGTAAATACCTTCAGCCTCCCAGAAGCACATTTCTGCCCCTCCTCTTGTGGTCATGCTCCTTCAGGACTCGCTTAGCTCAACAGTGTTCCTTTTTCTTTTCCCCCAAGGTGGACTCTTGCTCTGTTGCCCAGGCTCAAGTGCAATAGCACAATCTCAGCTCACTGCAACCTCTGCCTCCTGGGTTCAAGCAATTCTCCTACCTCAGCCTCTTGAGTAGCTGGAATTACAGGTGCGCACCACCATACCTGCCTAATTTTTGTATTTTTAGTAGAGATGAGGTTTCACCATGTTGGCCAGACTGATCTCAAATTCCTGATCTTGTGATCCACCGCCTCAGCCTCCCAAAGTGTTGGGATTACAGGCATAAGCCACCGTGCCCAGCCAACATTGCTCCTTTTATGAAGTTCTTCCTGTCCCTTCATTCTTACAGACTTATACCTCAATATAGCCCCCTCACTGAACGGGATCTAATTAATCCTCTTTATACCAAGAACATGTTAAGGGGGACAGATTGCACATACTCATCTCCATATTTCCACATATGTAACACAGTGACCTGAACATAGTGGATGCTCAAAACACATTCCTTAAAGCAATAAATAAATTAAAACAGGGTGATGTGATATTTTCTCAGTATTTCTGTGTTTATAGCTTCATATATAATGATGAAAAGCAACAAGATTATTCTGCTGAAAAAATACTTTTAAGTGTCCAGGTGTGGTGGTTCATGCAATTTGGGAGGTCAAGGTGGGTGAATCACTTGAGCCCAGGAGTTCGAGACCAGCCTGGACAACATGGTAAAGCCCCATCTCTACAAAAAGTAGCTCTATGTGGTGATATGTGCCTGTAGTCTCAGCTACTTGGGAGGCTGAGGTGGGAGGATGGCTTGGGCCCAGGAGGCGGAGGACATAGCTAGATGTGATCGTGCCACTGCAATTCCAGCATGGGCGACAGAGACCCTGTCTCAAAACAAAACAAAGAGAAAACAAACTTAAGTGATTGTTCAGCATTATATAGGCTAGTACTTTCCAAAGCAAATAAGATCATCTACTGAGGTACAGGAAGAACTTTAGAACTTATATCTTTACTCACCTTCTTAAAATTTCCTTTTGTGCATGTTGAAAAAAGTACCCAATGTATTACTAGTCTTGTTTATGTGCAATTTAAAATATATAAATATTCTCAAGAGGTCATACTCAAAAACGGATAATGATATGGTGCGTTGGGCACAGCTGATCTCCATCTCCCCAACACACACTACTTTTGTCTCTTTCTTTGATAATATTCCAAGTTTTAACTAGAAACATGCCTAGCAACCTCAAGACTGTCTGTCTGCATCCCTTGCAGCTAGATGTGGCCATGTGATGGCTCAGGCTAATTGACTGTGACCAGCCTTGATGTAAGCAACTTTCAGGTCATGTTCTTAAAATAAAGGAAAGTGTGTCCTTTCCTTTATCTTGCTGGCTGGGATGCAGACATGATGGTAGAAGAAGGAGCAGCCATCTTAAACTCAGGGATGGAAGCCATGTTTCAGGAGCATGTTTCAGAGCAACAAGCTGCAAGAAACCTGGACTTCCAACCCATGTAGTCATCATATAAACTTTGGATTGCCTTTGCGCAGCCTATTACATGAGAGAGACATAAACGTTATTTTTAATCACTCTTATCTTTAGATACCTGTTACAGAAGGCAGAACTCTTATCCAAAACAATGCAAGGTGTATAGTCAAAGAAAGAACTTTTAAGTTGATATAGATAATCAAGGCTCAAGGTGAAAGATACCAGTGTAGGAGAACCCTCCAGTTCTTCTTTGGATCCCTGTAATATCACTTCTCATGTATGCTTTTTTCTTTTCTTTTTTTCTTCTGTACTTTACAGAAATTTGATTTAAAACTTATTGATTAGCCACTGAGTGTAAGGGAAGGAATACGGGAACTGGCATTCATTGAATGCCTGCTGTGTATCAGATAATTAACATAAATCGTTTACTTTACTTTCCACAACAGTCCTTAAGGACGTCATTGTTGTTTCTTTTCCTTTCTCTAGCCAATGAAACAAATCTATGCAAGATTAAGTAGCGGATCCAAGAACAAACGACTACAGATTCGGTGAGTCAAATGTCCATGGTTTCCATTCTCTGCCCTTTCAGATGTGTGTCTTACTTTTCCAGCTCTTCCTCTTGAATCTTCTCCCTCTTATTTTACTTCACTTCCTTTTTACTTTCCTTCCCTGTCCTCATTCCTCTCTGCTCTCTACCTCCTGAAGCCAAACATCGGTATTTGGTAATCATCTGAAACAGTATTTCTCAAACTTGACTTTAATATGTGTATATATTCATGTGTGTACATGTGTGTATATTTTTGTACACATACACATATATATGTACTTGTGTATAAAATCTCCACTTTTTTCATAGAAAACAAAACAGGAACCAATAAAAACATTAATGGGCTCTCAGTGGCACATTCAATTATTATTAATATGAAATTACTTAAGTATTTACAAACACTTAGAACATTAGAATAAACTCTTTCTATGCACTGCTCTTGGATAACTACAAAGCCAAACAAAATTTAATATGAAAGAGTTATGTAAATCAGTAAAATTCAAATTAACCTGCATTTAATACGATAGATAATATGACTCTGTCATAGTGACATATGCCACCTACAAAGCTGACATGGCATCAGTTCCTCTCTTCAGTCCACTGTGTGCCATGGGATAGTTCTACCCCAGTTTAATTAAACTAGTATGATAGCTTCGTCTGTCTAGCTTGCTGTGTGTCTGTTTCACCTTTTCTAGGCACAAGCACAATCTCTGTGTGTTTTCTTTAGCCTGCAGTAATTAAAGTTGCACCCTGTAATTAAACATGAATGGAAGCCCAGATTTCGGTCCATGCCCCATGGTAGGACCAAGTCATAAGGTGCTCATCTAGATGTTCCAGCAGTCGCCCATACTTCATTGTCATTGTTTTTTAAAGATTATCATCTAAATGATGTCACAAAATTAAAAAATTATTTTAATAAAGTTGTGAAGCTTTCATTAAAGAAATATGGATCCAGAAAAATCAGAGGCCCATGGAAATGACAGGTCCAGTGATAGGTCCCACAAGGAAACTCAATCCCAGTAATGGAAAGAGTCCCCTTGTTATTGAGGAGAGAAATGGCTATCAATATGGTTCACTGATTACAGACGAATGAGCAGATTGTGAAGCAACTGTGTCCTATAACAAGCCTGGCTTATGCTTCAGATAAGAAGTGAAATAAACACCCTTGGCTTCTCTGCAGAGCTGGGGACAATGAGGGAGTTAGAGTGGGAGAGCCAGCTCCTCCTGGACTCCTGCACTCAGAGCCTTGGAGTCAGTCTAACTGGTGACTTGCAGAGAGACACTGCAGAGGGGAGATGAGAAGAGTTGGCCTGCAGAACACCCCCACCCCCATCACCTCCACCACCCTGAGCACCTTGCTCTGCCTCTACACAAATGATTCTCTTAGAGGACTATACTGTATAAGCAAACTACTTTTCTTTTTCTTTCTTTCCTTTTTTTTAGAGACAGAGTCTTGCTTTGCCACCCATGCTGGAGTGCAGTGGTGTGTTCACAGCTCACTGCAGCCTTAACCTCCTGGGCTCAGGCCACCCTCCCACTTTAGCCTCCTGAGTAGCTGGGACCACAGGTATGATAACTTTTTAAATTTTTGTAGAGATGGGGTCTCACTCCATTGCCCAGGCTTGTCTCAAACTGCTGAGTTCAAGTGATCCTCCTACTTCAGCCTCCCAAAATGATGGGATTACAGGCATGACCCACCATTCCTGGCCAATGAACTACTTTTCTGGCCCCCACTTTAAATCCAGGAACATTAACAAAAAGCTGTAACTAGACCTAATCCTGACTGCTCCAAAAGTTGTGAGAATAGTTAAACAGAGGTGTACTGCATCTTCCAGTGTGGACAGTGAATTAGACTCAGTATTTGTTGATATAGTTGTGGCTACTGTCCACTAAGAATACAGGAGGTAGGATGGGGTGGCCAACACCAAGAACGACTCCTGTGTGATTAAGCAGGTTCATGATGACACATGTACATCCATTCTCATCATGTACTGGGCACCTACTACTAAAAAACTTACTAAGTAATTACTACTATGTGCCTGGCACTGTTGATGTGCTTTATCTCTGTTAATTCACTTAATCCTCACAATAACCCAATGAGGTAATATTAGGATAATTTCCTTTTGCATATGCAGAAGCAGAGGCACAGTTATGGGCATGCAGCTGCCTATTTCTTGGAAAGCATAAGCAGAAAAACTGTACACTTGAGTTTTTAGGCAGCTTTCCTAATGTTTCTTGACTAATGCTGGGAACTTCTGTGCTTGAACCAGGTGTGCTCTGGAATATGTTTCTTCAAGCACAGATTAACCCAGCAGATGAGAGTTTTTGCTCTAGACAGAATTTTAAGGGAACAAGAGAAACAATGCCACTGTACTACCCTAAAATATTCAGAACCCCTGATATGAGTGAAAGGTGTTACTGATAAGAGGTAGAAAAATTTGGAGGGAATCAAAATAATGGCCTACCAAGCAGAGAATAAAGTCAGACCACAAATAGAATACAAAGGCAGTCAAAGAGATGCAGAAAGCACGAACTGAACTGTGAGTTCCCAGATGGAGTGAGTGGTGCTCAGTGAACAGGAAATTACCCAACAGTAAAGCCATGTGATGAACAATTATGCCACCATTAAAGCCTGCCAGTAAAGCGATAGAGAAATTATGAGATGCTGTCCAGTGAAAACTATAAGAAATAGAACTAAAAATGGAAGAAAATAGACCAAAATGTTAGTAGTCACCTGTAGGTTGTGAAATTTCAGACAACGTAGAAAATGTGGTGGTTTTCAAGAGTATTTAGAGATTTTAAATGTGTTTTACATTGTTGAATCTCTCTAAACTTTGTTCAATATTGACTTCATCCAGGAAATAGCATTTCATCCAATGCCATCCATTTAAAATTGTTATGGAAGGGAGTCACCAAGGGTACTTGGCTGCCCCTGCCAGCCCGTATTGGTCCCACCTACAACGTAGTTCTTGCTGACATTATAAAACGGCACAAGCTAAGATCCAGATCTCTGGAGGGCTCCTCCAGGGCTTATATAAAGAGAGAGTAAATGCCAAAATTTTTCTGAAAAGTATATAAGTTCATTAAGTTTTAAAAAATGTCCTGCATAAAGGCATACAGTGTGTGTGTGTGTGTGTGTGTGTGTGTGTGTGTGTGTGTGTGTGTG